GTGTCGGCGAGTGGTTTCGACTGTTTACCTTTTTCACCCCTGAAACTCACAACATTTCACCAGTACCAACTTTTCCACTCAAAAAAAGACGGGCCTCGCAAAACCCAGTAATAAGACGCAACAAGTAATGCTAGGGAATTGAGGTAATGTGGATTAAAAGCGTCGCAATTAGCCTTTATGATTTACATGGAGAGGATTTAATGAGCCTTACGATTGTACGTTAAAAGGAGCCAGAAACTTGTTGATTGTCCATTTTTCGGGGGTGGGCACGGGGCGAAAACTGCCGCCGACCTCCCGGGGAACAAACAAGCTGATAAGCGGTACCCCCCCACAACCCATGGATCGGGTTGTATTTTGTTGTGAAACGGAACGGATGAGGACATGGTAGAGAGCGGAGAGAGAGAGGAGAGAGAGGGAGAGAGAGAGAGACAGGGACAGAGCTATCAATGTTAATAGCCTGGGTACCTTCTAGAAAAGGGGAAAGAGATTCCTCAGAAAAAACCTTTCCATCTCTCTCTCCCTCTCTCCCTCTCTCGCTCTCTCTCTCTCTCTCTCTCTCGCTCTCTCTCGGCGATCAGTGACAATTTGTGAAATCCCCCTGCCAAATTCCTTTAATCGACCCCAATCCAATCCCACCCACGATTCCTATGAGGTGATAAATCTTGGCCAAACAGCCAGCGGGGACACAAATCAGCGGTTTTCGGGGGGAAGTGAGGGAGTGAGTGGTGTGCCCCCCTGGCGGGCTATATGAGTTGTTAGGTGCCAGTCGTAGTCAGCACAACCACCCGTTACAGAAAGAAAAACGGACCGACTCGAAAAGCCCTCCCGGGGTGGGTGTAATGGGGTGGGGAGGAGGGAAAGGAGCAGCAGCTCAAGCACAGAAAGATATACAAACACGTAAGGTAGGGCCAAAATATTACTCTCTGTTTATATCTCTCGGTATCTCTCTTTCGCCCACTGTCTCTCGCTCTCTCTCTCTCTCTTCTCTCTCTCTTTGTCTATGCCCCTTTCTCTCCATCGCGCTCTCTCGCTTTCCGTCTATCTCGGTCTATCTACCGCTCTTGCTCTCCCTCGCGCTCTCTCCTCCTCTCCACTCAAAGTCTCGGGAAGGCAATCTAGCAGTGACCCTTTACGAAAATCGTTCCCGATTTCTAGATTCGTCAAATTACGACACCATTATTTATTCAAAAATACACAAAACAAAGCCACAACTACAAAAGATATACCCGTGTATTCACAAGGACAAATGAAAGAGGATTGAGAATATTGAACACATGAGAGGAGTGGAGGGATTGTTTTATGGCATCTGCCCGGTCCGGACGTAGTATCTGAAGGGAATAGCAATGTACCGTAAGATTGGCGAAGGCCTACCGTAGCTGATCCTCCGAATTGACGACGACCAGTCGACGCTTCACTACGTGGTCGCCGGCGAGGGCCAGAAGTTGTTGCTCAGCTGAAAGGAGAGCGTGAGGGCTAACAGAGGGCATTGGGGAAACATTCCGGAAAACGCAATGGAACATACCAGCAGAGATCCTGTGACACCAAACGGAAACTGCAGCCTCTTCGCTCTCTCTCTCTCTCTCGCTCTCTCTCGCGCTCTCTAATACTCTCTCTGCCTGACTCCGATTTCCCTCGATCCGCAAAGATGGAGAGACGGTGAGAGTGAGATCGAAAGATAGAGAGAGACAGAGAGCGCGACAGAGCGAGCGAGGGAAGGATATAGAGAGAAAGAGGCAGAGAGCTAGAAAGTCAAAGAGAGAAAAAGCAGAGAGGGAGAGAGAGAGAGAGAGAGAGAGAGAGAAATAGTGGCAAAAGACAAGCCAACGCAAAAGACAAAAATATAGGCAAAACCTACTATTAATGGCCGGTGTCCTTCCCAGCATAGACGATAGCCCAATTTGTCGTTGTAGATTTGGGTCTGCCTCTAGTGCCCTCCTAATATCATCCAGGGTCAACCCCCGCTTGGCCCTCCTCTTCGCGAAGGGCCCCACATCACAGCCATCAACATGCGGGCATTCCGTCTGAAAATATCGACATTATGGCTGCTTACTATAGCCATTCAACACAATTTTTGCCATGATTTTTGGAAAAATACGGTACCTGCGGGCATTCGGCAAATGGGCACACCCTCACGAGACAGGTGTACTGTACGTGGTCAGTTGTCTGGTAGCGGAATGCTTCGATGGAAACCTGAATACTACATTTTCCCAAAAAAATGCGAAAATTGCTAGTTTGTCGAGATTTTTGAACGCCATGATAGGTATATAGATAAAAAATTATTCCCCCCTAAAATTTTGGCCCTAAATAATGTATGACAAAAAGTTATAGTACTATCAAATTATACTACGAGACACTACTCCGTACCATCATGCCGTGATCGGTAGATGCGGGCGGGCAGGCGAGTCCAACCAAATCTGAGGGGCATCCATCGCGGATGATCGGAAGAGGCTCCTTCTCCCAGTCATATCTGAAGCTCAACTTGATTGGACCGCTCTCTCTCTCTCTCTCTCTCTCTCTCTCTCCTTCCAAGTCCTTTTAAAACCGCCTAAAAACTCACCTCGGATCAATTGGCTCCACCTGACAACCCCGTACGGACATGTAGCGGGCTGAAAATGGTTTTTTGGTTTGGAAAACTGAAACTAACGGGGTATCGGGAAATGCGGGGTGAAGTCGAGAATAATTCGATTTCCGACAACAACTGCTTCAACCGGGCGCCCATTGTGAAAGATGTCAAATGTGACGGGTTGACGGGGTTTGGCGCTGAAAATTTATAGAATTTTTGGGGTAAAGGCAATTGAAACGACAGGATGGGACATATCACGTTCTCTCTCTCGCTCTCTCTATCTCGCTCTTTCTTTCTCTCTCTCTCTCGCTCCTTCTCTCACTCTCTGTTATGCTCTCTCGCTCGAAAAATCGAAAAACCAACCCGTGTTGTTCAGTGCCAGGTGGCCCAGCCGTGGTCGTCGTCGTCGTCGTCGGGGCGGTGTGCGGCTCGAACGGCTTAGCCGGCGCACGTGCCAAGTGGACGTTATCGTTCCAGTTCACTTCCGCGGTCGGCTGAAAGGAGTAAATGATCTTTCTAGGGAATAGGTTTTTTGTGCGCATCACTACCTAGTTGTCGAAACTCACCTTTTTGGTAGTGATCGTTGTCGTACTTGTCGAAGTCGTCGTTGTGGCAGTAGATGCTCGACTGGTTGGCCTGGCTGTCGTGGTAGTAGTTGTACTCGTCGAGGTCGTGGTTGTAGTGGTGGTAGGTCTACATTGAAGTTGTAGAAAGGCGGGAGATTTTTCGGTGTACTCTCTCTCTCTCTCTCTCTCGCTCTCTCTCTTTTTCTCGAACTCAAAACCGTCTCAACTAATGGCAAGCAAAATAATCAACCAAATTACCGCGGTGTACTTGTCGAAGTAGTGGTACTAAGAGTAGTAGTTGTGGTAGTCGTAGATCTGCTTGTACTGCTTGACCTCGTCGTGGTCACCGTCGGCCTAGCGGTTGTTGTAGTAGTTGTGTACACACTCGTAGTCGATGGCTGGGTTACGGTAGGCCTGGCGGTTGTCGTCGTAGCGTACACTCTCGTAGTCGAGCCGGTAGATGGACTTCTAGCGGTCGTTGTTGTTCCCTTCGTCAAGACTTGCGGCGTGTTGTCCTCAATCAAAAGCGGAAGTTTATAGGTGTCCTTGGTAGTCGTCGGCCTCGGGGTGGTCCGAGTCACGGTAGACGAGCTCCCAGCTTGATTTATCAAGGTAGGGAGGGCAGTTCTGGACGGCTCGAACGTCTTGGCCCCTGGGTTCCGGGGTGAACTCGTTGAAGTTGATGTGGTAGTTGTGTTGATGATCATTGGGATGGATTCGCGGACGCTCTCGCGGCCCAACTCAGAAAACAGCGCGTGCGCCGAGGCGGCAAACTGATCGGCCGTGATATCGTTGGTGGATGGGCTGCAAAAAAGGCAAAAATAAATTGAAAAACAAAAAAAGCAAAAAGCAAAAAGCTGAGCGCCCCAGCGGGGATCGAACCCTGGTCGGAGGGGTGTGAAGCGCGAGTTTAACCAATGCGCCACGGGGGCTAGCGCCGAGTTTCTTAATTTAAAGGGATCGTGCCAGGATAAAGCCTTTTCAAGGGCGCTTTTTTCAGATGGCTTTTAAAGAACCTTCAGCAAATTAAATCAACTTAACTGATTTAATCGAAAAAAGCCGATTTTGCCATTAAGAAAAGAATATTTTTCATAGTTATATGAAAACATATGAAATTAAATATACTGGTCCAAAATTAAAATTAAATAAATCAGGCTGAGGATAACAAATTATAATTATTGCTGGGTGTTAAATAATTTAAATTTATCAACTTAATTAAATTTAAATTCAGATATCATAATTTTATAGTTAAAAAACACCTTAAATAAATTTAACTCACGGAACTTCCGGGTAGTGGTTAAGCGATCGAGCCGGCGTCGATGTTAAGGGAGCGATCGGGCACCTGAAATTCGAGGTTTTAGACTTGGAGCTTGCTGGCACTGTCCCTTTAAAAGCCCAAGTGAGCGACTACGCTCCACTCCGAAAGACTGACTTTGCCTGGAAGGTCATATCGTCGGGGGTGATGAAATACAGGGGCTCGACGCCGTCCGTCGACAGCACCACGTCCAGCACCATGTCGTTGCCCTGGAAACTGATCGTGACTAATGCGTAAGCTAGCGTATCTTGGCGTAGCTCTGCGTAGCTTAACGTAGATTACGGTCGTCTTTCGTAGCCCTACGCAGCTCAACGTAGCTTAACGTAGGCCAGCGTAGCCTTACGTAACTTAACGTAGCATAACGTATGCTAGCGTGTCTTAGCGTAGCTCTGCGTAACTTAGGGTAGGCTACGGAGTATTGGAGCGTAACTTATTGCAGCCATTAATGCATCAATTTCCTCTAAAACACACCCACCTTATACCGTATACTATCGCTGCACCGCTTGCTCTTGGTGGGCGAGGGGAAGAAGTACTCGAACCGGGTCTGTTCCTTCGGCTCGATTCGGCAAGTAAAGAAGTCGTAGAGTCCTGAAAATTGCGTTAGACTACAAATGACAGCCACTACCATATAGAGCCCCGGTGTACGGGAACTTGCTGTCGATCGTCACGAGAACGCCGTCGTCTTGGCATTTGTACTCAAACTTGTAGCTGTCCGTTACTAAATGAATGGTGATCGACAAACGGGCCTTCTTTTGAGCTGAAGCTCAGCCCTGAGCCAAACCCTAAGCCTAAGCCTCTAAGCCTAAGCCTAAAGAGAGCTCGTTTCGAGCATCTTCAACTTACAATTGTAGCAGTTGTTCTCGTAGTAATCGATACGGTAGTTGGGGTTGTTGTTTAGGCGGATGGCTTTCGGCTTGGTCAACTGGTTGTTGGCCGACATGTGGCAACCACCGTCGGTTCGGTTGAATGACAGCGAGCGGCACGGGAACCTGAAGGCGTTTAGACGTTTTAAAGGGAGTGAGACAGGGCAGCGGGTGAGAGAGAGCGGGGGAGAGAGAGAGCGAGACGCAGACACTCACTTTTCCTCGTTCAAACACTCGGCCAGACAGTCCTCCAGGCTGCTTGTGTGTCGCACTTCGATTACCTGAATGCGATAAGTTTTCAACGACCATGGAAGGGAAATTTTTGGCTTCTACGGTCCTTTAAATTAACAGAACATACCTCTGTCGCTTCCATGTATCGATCAGACATGAAGGTGAAGGCGTGGTCATTGCCGCACTGCTTGTGGGCTAAAAATAATTTTTTTGCGAGGAGAGAGCGCGAGAGAAGAGAGAGAGAGAGAAAGAATAGCTCACAATCCACACAATACCGCCAGTAGAACGAATACCGATCGTCCGCCTCAACGAACCCATCGACATTTTGGAGTTGGTGGGGCTGAAAATCCGTATTTGTCTTTGTTTCCCAAATTCTCTCTGCTAATCTGCCCTTGTTCTTTAGTTTAGCGGTTTTAAGGGAACTGACAAGCCTAGCTAACGGCCGAAAAACGCAAAAAACATACCTGAAATACGTCACAATGGTGGTTAAAGTTATCGACAGAGGTTTGATGGTTGAGGGCGGCGCATTCGAGGGATTTGCCTGAAATAGAGGGTTTTGGGCGCTGTCACTATCCCTTTAAAGCTTCTCCCGGCTTCTCCCTTTAAACCCGACCTGCCATCACCGGATCTTCTCCCAACGAGCAAGCGCTTTGGCATGCCTTTAGAGATAGCTTCCCGGAAGCGACGGCCCGGAAGTTGAGCCGCACTCCCGGCCATCGAACGTACAGCGAGTTCTTGCAGCTGCTGGCTAAAAGTTGGGTAGATTAGTGGTACTGTAGGACAGGAAGCATCCGGAATTGGTAGACTTACCATGGGCCAAGCCGATTAGGGCCAGCAAGGCGACCAGCACCCGCATTGGGATCGAGGGGATGAAAGCTGGAAATGAAGGGTTTGGAGAGAGAGAGAGAGAGAGAGAGAGAGAGAGAGAGAGAGAGAGAGAAAGAGCGAGAGAGGGAAAGTGAGAGAGATAACGTACGGGAGAGAGAGAGCGAGAGATAGGAGAGAGAGAGAGAGAGATAAGGAGCGAGAGCAGGTAAAATAATGAGCAATTTTCAAATACATGTGGAAAAGCTGGCAAGCTAGCAGTGACAATTTCGGAAAATTCGCCTATTGCTTCATTGCAAGATCCATCCACAAAAAGCTTGAGCATACCATCGGATGACTAGCCGCTGTTTGCGGAATACAAACTGACAGAGAGAGAGAGAGAGAGAAGAAATGCCCCAAAAATGGGGCACACGAGCCGGATATGGACCCGCGGGCTCTTCAGCGGGGGCCGGTTCCCGCTGACCCCTGGCAACCAGTCTATTCTGCGCCCTTTTTGGTATGCCCGAATGCATGCGATGGCACAATGGAGAGGTTTAAAGGGACTGGGAAGGCAACGTTAAAATGGTTTTGGCAATGTGACAATGTCAGATCTGGTATAGATAAAGCGAAAAAGAAGCAGAGCCGGAGAGAAAGGAGAGAGAGAGAGAGAGAGAGAGAGCGAGAGAGAGCAGGGAGCATTTGGGAAATCGCAAAATTTACACCATTTTGACTAGAATATCTTCTAGATATGGGTCAAATGGTTTGGGTTCCGACTTTCCACCGGGCCGTCAATGTCATACTGTGAGGCGGAATTTGCATCGTCTCGTCCTCCCCATCTGCACAACTCGGTCAAACATCGCTAAACGGCCCCCCGGAAAAACGCTTCCTCGGCGCGTTCACTAGGAAAGCGCCCATAATCCGATGGATTTTCTCCTGCTAGCCCTGGTTTTGGAAAAGTGACAGTACCACCCTAAAGAGGGTCGTAAAATGGAGTGAAGCGGAACGGAAAGTGCTACACGGGGTCAGGGGTAGGTGAACTAGCTGTGGTGATTTGGGAATTTTTGAGAGAGAGAAAGAGAGAGAGAGAGAGAAAGAGAGAGAGAGAGAGAGAGAGAGAGAGAGAGAGAGGAGCAAGAGAGTGATAGCGAGAAGAGAAAGATCAGAGATCTTTGCGGAAAATTTTGGAATGAATAGGTCAGGCGCCATTAACCAAGGGCTAGCGAGCAGAGAATCTTTAGGTTTTTTTCAAAAAAAAAGATGAAATGGAATTGAGCCCTCCGGGGGGTGAGAGTGTCGGCGGGACGAAGCTGCCCCCGTTGTGAGGATCGTGGCGTACTGGTCTGGATATTGGGGGAAATGGGGGGATGGCCTTGACACGGTCCCCTCCATCCCCCCAGCCAACAGATAGCCATCCCTCTACTATCCCCCCTTCTAGCCCTTCTAACATCACAAAAAAGAGGGGATTGACCAGAGAAGGGGAAAGCGAGAGTTCCCAAAGCTGATCGTCTCGATGACCCCTGGAGGAGTGGGGGAGGTGAAGTCTAAGCCTAAGTCTAACCTAAGCCAAATCCAATGCCAAAGCCTGCCTGAGCGTAAGCCGAAGCCTCAGCTGAAGCCAAAACCTACGCCTAAGCCTAAATCTAAGCCAAAGTCAAAGCCCCACCCAAGCCTATGCCATAGCTCAAGCCTAAGCCGAAGCCTAAGCCTAAACCTAGGCCTGAGCCTAACTAGGGAATGGCTTCGCGCGACACGGACCGATTTTAGAGTTTGTGCACCTTGTAGATCTCGACGAGACGAATCGATTGATGTAACTTTTTGCTGCCAACGCCGTTTAAATCTAAAAGTTACAACGTTTAAACTTTGTCGTGGCTTGGCTTCATAAGCCCTCCCCGCAACCCGTCTCCAGGGTCTGGTGTCCTAGTGGCCTAGTGGTCGGCGTATGGGGCACTAACGAGGCTTCGAACCCGCTCACGAACTGTTTTGCTGTTTTTTTGGCCGAAGGTTACTCATTGCTGTCTGAAGGCCGCGAAAAACTTTTTGTGCATGAGTTTTACACCAAGAGCGCTCCCAGTAAAAATACAGCTTCGGGAGAAAGCTTTTTCTCTTGAAATTTTCACTATATTCATAGTAGGGGCTAGTTCAGGACAAATAAAACATTTTTCATGGAAATTGGGCTACGATAACAACAACCCCTCAATGGGGCCCCTTAAATTTTCCCCCCCCCCCCCCCCAAACCTCCCCCCCCCCCCCCAACCCGGCCCAATAAAAAAAATTTTCCCGGGCGCGGGGGGCGCGGGGGGCAGGGGGGGGAAACTTCCGGCAGAACAAATGCAAACATAAAACAGAAGGCCGATCCCGCGGCCGAAACCATTCCCAGTAAGCGCAACTGCGTCGAAAAAAGCGAGCGCACAGTAAGCCCCCGGCGTGGGGCACCCGGTCCACCCCAGGGGCTTGAATCCTGAGCCCAAGCTTCGGTTTTTAACTTTAAGCCGAGCTGCGGAATGCGAAAATGCACAGCCACAAACGTACAAAAAAAACCAAAAGCCACTTTTTTGAAAAACCATTTATTCCAAATTTCACAACTATCAAGGCCTTCCTTGAGGCCGTTTAGTATCCGGTGGGGGCGGCGGCGACGGGTGGCTGCTGTTGATAGTTGTAGCTCGGAGCCTAAAATGTCAATTATCAGGGATTCCTCTACAAGCAGTTATTAACCTACGTTAGATCATCTGAAATTTCGAGGAGCGTACCTGGTTGTAGATGGGCTGGACGATGCTGTCGCTGTAGTATGGCTGGTCGGGGGCCAATTCTGGGGCACAGCAGATGCACCTGTTGATGTCCTTGTCCTCGCCGTGGCGACGGTGGCTGAGGATCAGGCCGCGGACGACGTGCTGAAATAGATCGTCTTTGTTAATTGGACCAGGGCAGGGATTTAAAGAGTGTTTGCTAGATTTCCAGCCCTTTTCCTTTCTTTCTCTCTCTCGCTCTTTCTCTCCCTATCTCTCTCACTCACCGGGCTAACTCCGGGCACCGGCTGGGCAGAAATTCTGCAGCATCGGGTGCAGTGCTCCTCGAAGACGACGGACAGGCGAGAGCACGTCACGCGGTGGAGGCGGCCTACAAATTCTAATGTCACCACCCCTTTAAAATCCAAAACCCACGATGCCGGTGGAGATGCTCATGACGGTGGCCCCACTCGACGGACGGGGCATACGAGAAGCTCGTGTCGTCGGTGCAAACATGGTCTGGAAAGCAGGTTGATTGAGCGGACGCCTGATTTTGAGCATAAGATTAAAAATGAGCTTGAGCTGAAGTCTAGGCCGTACGGAGCCTAAACATGAATTCAAACCTCATAAATGACTACGTAAACTTACTAACTACAGGATCGTACATGCTGCGCTCCAACCAGGGCAACGGGCCGGCCGGATAGCCGGGACTAAAAATATCTGAATTCCTCCGGGATACTGTAATTCCTACCCAGGCTGTGGTGGGGCGGCAGCAACCGGCTGCGGATATCCACCGTATTGGGCCTGAAAATTGAGGGATACGGTAGCTGAGTACGACAATCTAAGAGCAGAGATCTTAGGAACCTTAACGCTAGACGGATTCTGCCGGAATCTAGGTCAATAGGAATTCTTAAGAAGTCTGGTAGCTAGAATTGATTGAAACAGATTAGCTATTTTTCCAAACTTAACGATCGTGATATTCAAACCCACAGCTACGGTAGCGATGAGGAGACATCCCCAGAGGACGTGGGCGGGTGAAGAAGCCATCGCCGAGCCGAGGGAATGGGCCGGGGAATGAATAGGGAAGAGCCTGAGACCCCGGGTCTGGCTCCTTCCATTAGACATCTAACAACATCACGACTATCTGATCGGAAGTGGGTCTCGGCGGGGATTTTTGCGAAATCGGCATCGATTGCTGGGCCGGAACGCGAAGTTTCTGAAATTTTAGAGAGCGAGAGAGCGAGAGCGAGGGAGAGCGAGAGAGAGGGAGTGAGGGTGAGCGAGAGATAGAAAGAGAGGGACGGAGAGCGAGAGTGATAGAGAGAGAGCGCGCGAGTGAGATAGACATAGGAAAATATAGAGAATCGAAGTTTTGCCTTTAAAGCCACTTTAAAAGATAAGACCAGGTTGAACCATAGTTTTGTTAAATTTTGCAGTGAATCCGTTGGGCGAGCTAGCAGGGATCATTTGAGGTTTTTCACTCATAAATGCGTTGAGCTTAGACTCCACCTTTCCATGGCGTAATGGATTAAGACTGACGGCATCTCATAGATCTTTTCCCCAACAAAATTCCAACATTTTCCCAATTCCCCAAATGGTCTCTGCTAGCTTGCCCAATCTGTCTTCCATTTTCGTTCTTGACTTCCCGGGGCCTTTAAAGGTGTTAAACTTTGCTTCGAAATTCGTTTATTCGCACGTACAGGTATGGACAGATAGGCAATCGAGGACTAGAATAAACACACAAATCGATAAATTCTAGAAATTGCATGTAAGAGAGAGAGAGAAAGAGAGAGAGAGAGAGAGAGAGAGAGAGAGAGAGAGATAGCGAGCGAGATAGAGACAGAGAGAAAATGAGAGAGAAAAAGCGACAAACAAGAACTGAATCGAATGCGAGGGAGTAGTGGCAGAACCCGTAATCAATTCACAATCGGGACTTCAGGGGCAAAAAGGCAAAGTTTCGAGGATGGGTGAAAGCTGTCATGTGGCGGGTGGGGGTGTGAAAGAGCACTTTGTCACAAAAATGGAAACAGGGTTCTAAAGAGACATTTCTAATGACTGGATTCCCAAAGGATCTGCGGCGGAACGCCCGAGGCAGCTAGCATAGAGTTTTTAGGAAGTCAGGAATCAGCAGAAAACCGCTTCAAAATCACAAAAGCGGAGTGGAGTAGTTCTAGGCCTAAGCTTAAGCTTGGGCTTAGGCTTAGGCGTAGCTTAGGTTTGGGCTTCGGTCTGGCTTACGCTCGCACTTCGGCTTAGGCTGAAGCTTAGCTTAGGCTTAGGCTTCGGCTTTGACTTAGTTGAGGCTTAGGCTTAGTAGGCTTAGTAGACGTTTAAGCTTCAGCTTAATGATATGACATAGCGTGATTACTATCCGGGCTGCCGAGATCGGTCTCGGCCGTCGTCGAGTGGGTCATGAACGTGCTGGTGGTGGGCGCGTACTCTTTGCCGTCGACGCTAGAGCCTAAAAATAATCAGGATTTCGGAGGTAGTCAAGAAATTATGCAACAATGGCATTACAAAAAGGATATATTCGGAAAAAGCACCACAAGTTCACCAGTTTGTCGAAGGCGGTTCTAGAAATGGCTTGATGGGTTGGAAAGTTAATTTTCTCTTTCTCTCGCTTTCTCGCTATCTCTCTCTCTCTCTCTCTCTCTTTCTGTCTCTTTCTCTTTCTCTCCACCTACCATAGTCAGACATCTCTGTGCCCTGCCCGGGGATGCTGATCGTTGACGGGACACCGTAATCCCTGCCAACCGAGGGTACAGGTGGCGCTGGCCGCACTGGACGGCTGTGGTTCTTCTGGAATTTCGGGTATTTGATTTTTATTGTTGCAACCGCGACACGCAACACGCCCGCTCTGCTTTCTGTTGAGCAACGACTGCGGCGCGTTCACCACCGAAAAGCAGCGGACGTGTTGCGTGTCCAGTCTACATAGAATACAGCTACAAAATCCGTAGTCGTCCCTTGCCAAACTCTTTAAAACGGTTCTCACCTGGACGGACGCGTAGGAGACGTTGGAGAGACGGCGCGACACTCCATAGTACGGGCTTGGAGTGACGATGCCGTATTTCGGTTCTGAAACTTGGTTTTGGTAGGGAGAGAGAGAGAGAGATAGAGAGAGAGAAAGAGAGAGAGAGAGAAGCTAGCTAGTTAGATGCTCAGCTACTCACCCTTGGCTTCAGCCGTCGGTTCCGAAATCCAGTAATCCGTCTCGGTGGCTCTCCGCACAACGATGTCCTCCTTCCGAACGTCTCCCTGACGTCTTCGGCCCCTTCCACGGCAGCAGCAACACCACAACGTCACGTGGAACAGCGTCGCCATCAGGTAGCCTAAAAAAAATGGTTGGCGGTGGGTGCCGTGCCATGCCCGTCCCTTGAAAACCCACTCACCAATGAGAAACACGAGACCGTAGGCCACCAACTCTTCGTTTCCCATCTCATGGAATCTTGGGAACCGGTTGAAGTGTGTCGGTGGGGGTTCGGTGAAATTTTGCTGATCTTGCATGACTTCAGGAAGTGTCTGGGTTGTTGTTATCTCCCGTACTCGGACTGTGGTATTCACGTAGAAGACGTTGGCACGGGTGTCCTGAAAAAAAGAAGATTTTGGAGTCATAAATTTCGGAAAAGTTCGGAAAGTCCGGAATCGACCCCATCCATTAACTAGATCTAGACCGCTATCGAATTGCTTCTCGGAATTACGATTTTTTTTTGAGCGGAAGAGCGAGAGAAAGAAAGAGCGATAGAGAGTGAGTGAGTGAGTGAGAGAGAGGGAGAGAGAGGGTGAGAGTGTGTGTGTGCGAGATAGTGTGAGAGCCTGAGAGGGAGAGAGAGGGAGGGAGAGAGAGTGTGTGTGCGAGATAGTGTGAGAGAGTGAGGGTGAGAGAGAGGGAGAGAGGGAGAGAGAGCGAGCGAGAGAGCGAGAGAGAGTGTGTGAGAGTGAGAAAGCGATAAACTAATTCAAGTGAACATTTAGATAGATGCCGATGTTTAAATTTAAAGACATTTTATGATCCCTATCCAATTGAGCAGGAAACAATTCAAGGACAAAAATATAAAATGACATTTTTTGGAAATGACACATCGGGTCAGCATTTCGGCTGTCCGGCCCGAGAAACGCGACGCGGCCCTCCCTCCCCAAAAACCAAAACATTTGCATTGACGGCGATGGGGACGCAAGATAGGGGGATGGGGGCAAAACATTGGAATGTCATTTTGTAGCGGTTGGAATGATTCAATGCGCTTTAAAGGGTTCTCTAAGGGTGTTGAAGTGAAAGTCAGTCGAAAACATGACAAACCGGTAGTGACAAACCTCGTCCTGGGCCTCATCACCACTTCCGTCGACCGAATTTAGAAGCGCCGTTGTCTGGTCTAAGACATCTTGGTCATCTCGGCAGTGGGACTGAAAAAATTGTTTGATTGATTAATTAATTACGGTATATTTTTACTTAAGCTTAAGCTTACAAGCCAGCTTTGCTAGGCTAAGGCTCAGGATCAGGCTTGGGCTTACTGTGAGACTTAGACCCGGGCTTTGGCTTGGGCTTAGCTTCCGTGGCTCTAAGCCCAATACCCTGTTTTCTTTCACAATTCTACCGCGTAACTGTATAAGAAACGGTCCTTGTGCTAATCCATTAAAATATCGGATACAACGTACCGTGCACGGATCCCCGGCCCGGCATAGCCGAACGGCACACCGGAAGAACAGCTCGGACGAGTGCTCCGGTTTGAGCATCGACGGCACCGAGGCGGTGGCTGTCTGAAAAATGACTGAGCGTTGTCGGCGGCGTCAAAAAAAAAACAGGGAATACATATTAATGCTTTAAGGATATCCTCAAATAGCTGCTATTGGTTAATACCAGCCTAAGAAGATCCACCTACCCGATCGTCCGCACTCCGGCTAAACTGCGTGAAGAAGCCGGCTTTTGTCGGGCACCCTCTCTCATCGGTCAGCTGGAAAAATCATCTCGATTTTGATAACTCCAACTTACAGCCGCCTCATCGGTCTTTGATTTTGCTGTACATTTCATTACTTCAAACGGCAGTCGATTTTCGGCGAATTGTTTGATGGTCAGGGTGTAGGCATCGCCGAAGATGAGGTCCTGGTAACAGATTTTTAATGGCTCGAGAAGTTATGGTTACCTTTACAGCAACATTGGACCCTTTCGGTTGGAACGTCATCTCGAACGAGGGCGGGGAGAAGCTGGAAAAATTTTGTGAGCTTTTTCTATCTCTCTCTTTCTCTCTCTCTCTCTCTCTCGTCTGTCTTTACCTCTCCTCTTTCCGCCCAGGGGCCGCACAAGCGATCGGGTACTCGCTGTCCGAATCCACGACAAGATTCGGATTTGTGTGCACCTCGACGTTGACTTTGTAGCTGTGCTTTTTCTAAAAGTGTCTTCCTTTGTAGGCTTTACAGAATTTTCAGCAACACGCAACACGCACACCCCCGCGGGACCGAGCAACGATCGTGATCTGCTCCGAAACATAAGTCTAGCCTGTGCGTTATCGATTACGCCATGAAAAGTGCGCTCGCGTGTTGCCGTGCAGAAAATTCTATCGGAATCCATCGCCATTCCTTGCTCGTCCCTTTAGTACCTCATCATAAACCACGCCGCATGCGCTGGAGTTTGCGAACGGGATCGTCATGTTCACCTTCTTCGTGCCATCGCCTAAAAAGGGTGTTGGAACCGTGGCAATCCGGATACCTACCGCTGACTTGACACTCAGGATCCCTCCTATTTGTCATAATCTTCCCGCTAAACCCTGTGGTGGAGATCAACGAGACGACGACTTGCTCATCTTCGCACACCCAGGTCACCCCTAACGTAAAAATTCGAGCGTGAAAGTAGATAAAGTCCTTACCCAGCTCGGAATTTGCGCCGGCGTTCTGCACACTTGAGAGAACGACCTGAATGATGGGGAATTGTTTAACGTATGAATCTCACTTACCAATGGTAACAAGAGTAGCATGGCGACGTCGTTGAACATTCTACGGCATGGGGGCGTTCTGGAATAGATGGTTAAAAAGGCTGATCACTAGGGAAAGAAAGCATCGAAGCCGAAAACATAAAAGAAAAAGAAAATAATCCTCTAATTTGCCTTAATTTAATTGGGTTTATCTTCTCGTCTCTCTTCCAAATGACCTTTGCTAGTTTGTCCCAAATGGACGCTGAAGTGAAGCTCACGGTTCCACCAAAGGCTCTCTGCTAGCCTGCCCGGATAACACGCAAGTTTAGACGATTTAACGAATTCATAGTAAAAAAGTAAATAATGCAAAAATGGCAAAACGCGAGGTTGCTTTTGCATTATCGGGGCGGGGGGGCAAATCCGATTCTTCCATAGATATAGAATTTTTTAATGCCGTAATTAAGTCATTTTAAACGTACTTTTAGTCAATTTTTACTATATTCCAAATGGAAAAGAGCCAAAATCTTCTAAAAATTCGAGATTTTCGGCGAAAATTGGCCATTATTCGTCGAAAAATCTATGTTTTTGTATTTTCCATGAAAATTTGTAAAATTTTTACGTTTATGTAAGTAAAGAACAGCGTAGAAGCACTTCCCTCCCCATTTCTATTAGAGCAAGTGGATACTAAAAAATCCCCCCCCCCCCGATAATGCACAAGAACCAACTTTAAAGAATTAAGTTTACGAACGCCGAAATTCAAGTTCCAAGGCCAGAGCGATAGACGAAGATTCCCCACGACAGCGATATGGGTAGAAAAGACAATCGCGTGCGACCCGACCACCAATTCGTGATCCCAATATGGTGGGAATGGGGCTGGGAGTGGGCTGGTAGTTGCGATGAGACCCAACCGGGTGGTAATGAATAATTGGGGGGTAAGGGACCAAGGATCCCCAGCAAGATCCACTCAGGGCCAAATCACGGCCCTGATAATTGGGCCCCGAGGCTGTGCCTTAAGGACCCGGGACTCAAGGGGGGATTTACACACCTTTCGTGCGATACTACCGCCTGTCAGCCTGGGTGGAGAAAACGAACGCCTTGGAGAAAGAGGGAGAAAAAAGGATGGATGGCCCTGGCCAGCGGTCATTACCTTCGCTCTCCTTGCTCTTTCTTCCCCCAGCCTTCACACGCCGCTTTTTTCATATATCGTGCCCCTTTCTACCTCAAATGGCCCGTGAGGGGACGGTCGGACGGAAGGAAATGGCTGGGGGCATTGGGCGCGAAAGGGAAAACTAGAAAAATAGAAAAAGTTCTGTAGATTTCGATGCTAATGTCTAAAAATGGTTCTCTTTGTCTTAAGCACGTTTTAAAGGGTCGGCCGAGGGTAGGAAACTACGGATTTTTAAGCCGGTGGTCGCGATACGTAACGCAACACGCATCGGGCTCCCCCGATTCATCGCTGCAAACGGTTGAGCACATTGAGATAGCTGAAAGGGACCGGCAAGGCAAGGCTATGGATTTTGGATTTATGGTTGCAACACGCGAAAGTGGGAGAGAGCATAAAACCGATTGAGGCGGAGTGAGAGAGAGAGAGCGCGAGAGAGAGAGACATATGCAGAACGAGTGTGCGGGAGGGCCAGCGAGAGCGCGCAAGCGAGCGAGAGCAAGATAGTCATTTCGTGAGCGAGAGAAAGAGAGAAAATGGCGAGAAAGAGAGAGAGAGAGAGAGAGAGAGAGAGAGAGAGAGAAATAGCGAGATTTTTACCGCAATAGGGAATTTTCGCATTTTCAGAACTGAACTTAAATCGTACAAAACCACCCGAAACAATGTGGTCTAAAAAGCCGCGGGGATTGATGTGGTAGACCGTAAGTGGATACATCATCCGATCAAGAGATGGGGGTGATGGGTTGATGGAAGTGTTCGGGCAAAAAGCCATCAACGGCCGGCCATCAGGGGCCCGTGATTGGTTTACAGTCAGATAGACACAAGGGGCAAAAGGTCGCCAGGGCAGAATGGGCGAACGGGAGTGACTGCTGGCTGGTGTCACCTTTCCTTTAGACGGCACACCAAAAAATGAACCGCTGAAGACATAACAAGAAGAACAAGAAGAAGCTGCAAGCACAAAAAAAACATTTAGGGGGTGCTGTCAGGGTGACAAGACGCCACATACTGGACCCCGTGACGCCCAGTCGGCAACACACAAAAAACGGGAGCCGCCGGGGTGAACAAGTGGGCCGACAGGGTGGTGAATGGATGATTTGTTATCAGAATGTCAAGTATCGAACTATGAAATGCCGAATTTGAAGATATATCGTAATGTCGAAATTATAGAAGGTTGAAATGTCATCGCAAAGTGCCGGTTATTTTTCCCTTTTCTTTATTGTGTAGGTCTAGAGGCGCTTACCTGAATTTACCCTTTATTCTTCTTGTAAATTTAACTACCCTTTATTCTTTTTTGTAAATTTAACTAGATTTAAGGCGAAAACGGTTTTTTTACCAAATTTAAAACCGCAAAATTCGACATTTTTCTGGGAAAA